GAGGACTTTCCAGGAAGCTCCGACGAGGTGACCTTCATGCCTGATCTGCACTTTCGCCTTCACTTTCGCCACTACTCAGGCTACCTAGAGTCGACAAACAAGTCTCAGCTGCACTACTGGTTCTTTGAAAGTCAGGGAAATCCGTCAACTGATCCAGTGGTTCTATGGCTGACTGGAGGACCGGGCTGCTCAAGTCTGCTCGCGGCGATGACCGAGCAGGGGCCCATTCGAATTGAAGATGATGAAACGCTGGCGCCGAATCCTTCAGCGTGGAACCTAAAGACCAACTTCCTCTACCTCGAGTCGCCAGCTGGAGTCGGATTTTCGTACAATGCAAATGGACAGTACAAAACAGACGACAAGCAGACCGCCGAGCTGAACTTTGAAGCACTGAAAAGCTTCTTCCAGAAGTTTCCACAATACGCGAAAAATGACTTTTACATCACAGGTAACCTTTGAGTTTCATAAAAGTTGATAACTATAACGAATTGGAGGCTTTAGGCGAAAGTTACGGTGGCGTGTACGTTCCTACACTAGCCGAAAAGTGTCTGGATCGGAAGTTTCCCGCACCGTTCAAAGGATTTGCCGTTGGAAATGGCTACCTGGACCAGAAGCTGTTGGGCAACTCTTGGCTGCAGTTTGTTTACTATCACGGACTGGTGGACACGCCACTTTGGGAGAAGCTGGTGGAGGAGTGCTGTCATGATGGAACCAAGCTGAGAAAGTGTGACTTTGTCGGCAGTGAGAAAAAGTCCTGCCAAAAGTTGATTGAAAAGGTAAACAAATGGCGAAAACTGCGCGAAAAATGTAATTGCATTATTTTCGTTCACCCAGATTCACAACAACTTTAACTCAGCGCCCATCAACGTGTACAACATCTACGCCGTGTGCAATCAATCTTCGATCCGAAGAGATGAGCTAACGCCGGAACAGGTTGCCCGTCGATTTCTGGTCACAAACCTGCTTCAACTGGACGCTGATTACGTGAACCAGCTCAAGGACTCGCCGCCATGTCTCAACTACGATAGTCTGCAGGATTACCTTAACCGAAAGGTAAAACCAAAAACAATTGCTAAAATCAATACAATTTTACTGTTTACTTTTCTTCAGGACGTCCGCCATGCTCTTCACATTCGACCTCAGTCGCTGTCCTGGACTCCGTGCAATCCGAACATTGACTACACTAATCAGTACAAAAGTCTGGCTAAGGTGGTCAGAAAGCTGGTCAGCAGTGGGCTGAAGGGACTGATCTACAACGGCGACGTGGACACTGCCTGCAACTACCTAGGGGATGAGTGGTTTGCCGAAGAGCTGGGCTTCAAGACCATCAGAGAGTTTGAGCCCTGGCTGGTCAACGCAACCGGTCAAGTTGGAGGATTTGTGAAGATCTTTGACGGATTCGCCTACACCACCATTCGAGGATCTGGTACTTAACTTTAATTTCCTTTTTACCATTTCTAACAGTGCATTCTTCGAAACAGGACACATGGTTCCGCAAGACAAGCGACTGGCGGCTTTGCAAATGTTTAACAAATTTCTTGAAAGCTAACTTGTTGTATGCAAATAAAATCAATTAGTTATACCAAATCAGTGCGACAATTGTACGACAAATTGAAAAATGTTGTACGTTTTTTAGTAGAGTGAAAATGTAACGATGTTTACTTAGTCTTTGAACACAAAGAAATTAACATTGTAAAAAATTAAATTGAGTACACAGCCTTCAGTGACAGTGCACACTTTGTTAATCACTTGTCGATAAGTGGGTGTACAGCGTGTACACGGACAAATAACAGCAAACACTAAAATCGTTGTCATGGAAAGGGAAGCAGATAAAGGCACACAAAGGTAACAGTGAATGATAAGTGGAAACTCGTTGTGTGAGTAATCAACACACTCTAACGTGGATGGAACATAAATATTACACAAATAAACTTAAAGTCAGCTTTGATTGATTCTGCGTCGATGTGCCTGTGTAGGGGAAATCTCATTTAAATAAATAATTACCTTGCGATTAAGCCTGTGAAAGATGAAGATACCTACTTTTCCTAATCGCCCTCCCGACCAGCTTCTCTCCGCCAAGTTCCACCTAATGGTGGGGCCCAATTTGTTCACAGACACCACAGTTACTTTGAATATTACCCAACAAGTACTGACCGTTAGCGGGAAATGGGGCGTAAATAAGGAAATTAAACGTAAGTGAATTCTGTAGCATCATCATCATCATCATCATCGAAAACAGCATGACCTAATTACACTTTAATGCCCCATTGTTTTAATGCCCAGTAAACATGCGAGATCTGGCGGAAATTCGCGTCGGCCTGCACACTGACAAGTGGATTGAGCTGTCTGCTCGTGCTGAGCCACTCTGCAGCCTGAAACGCGTTCCCGAGAATGTGCATCACTTCTCGCTGGTCAGCAAATCTTCGCCCGCCATCCTTCCCGGGCAAACCGTTGAGCTGATAACCAAAAATGCCAAAGAATTTAAAGAATGGATTGCCGAGTTGAAGGAGCTAGTCAGTGCGTGCCAAGTGAAGGAGAGCAAAATTAGAACAGATCAAATAATGTAAGTTGTTTCTGAGTAGGGCCCACTCATTTGAGCAGCACTCAATTTTCTAATTTGAATGCGATCACTTTCAGCATGCTTGAGCACTTTTATGAGAAGAAAATCAAGTCGAGCTTGATGATGGCCAACTTTAAATTGAAAAAGTTTATTGAAAAAATTAACATTAACATCGGGAAGGAGCACTTGGATGAAATTTTTGTAAGTACGTTTAAATTAGTCCAATTTAACCATTATTTTAAACTGGGTGCAATTTAAACATTCAACACGCAGAAACTGTACGGCCTGAGTAGTTACGGAAATGTGACGCAGGAGCAGTTCATTCAGCTGATGACGCACTTTGATTCTCGAAGTGGATTAGACTTCATTTTCTACAAGTAAGACTAGCAGCTAGCAGCACATTTTGTTCTGATAATGAGAGAGTCGATCACTTTGTTAACAGATATTCAATTGCCCATTCGGAGTTTATGAGTGCAGAAGGGCTCAGAAGATTCTTTGAAGCGGAACAACGGGTACGTTTTCTTTTCACTTTTTATGTTTTTCTAAACTGATTGTTTGTATACAGGAGCATAAATCACTACCCGACTGTGTTCAGCTTATCAGCGCCTACTCATCCTCACTCTTTGATACCACTGCTCATCTTCTTCAGCAACAGCAATACACAGGAACCGGAAACAGCAGCAACAACTACCTCAGTCGTCGTGCCTTCTACCGCCTGGTTGACATTGAGCAGTCCTTTGCCCTCTTCTCCCCCGGTCACCACTCGGTGTGCCAGGACATGGGCCAGCCAATGTCTCATTACTTCATCGCCAGCTCTCACAACTCCTACCTGGTGGGCAATCAGCTGACCAGCGCCAGCAGCTATGAGATGTACCGGCGGATACTGCTCGATGGATGTCGATGCATTGAGCGTAGGGTCAAAGAAGTGCAACAGTGATAAGTGTGACTCACCTTCCTCCTCTTTTTTTCACGGCAGTCGACGTCTGGGACGGGTCCAGTGAGCCTGAAGTGTACCACGGACACACCTTCACCTCGCGAATTCTCCTCCGAGGCATTCTTGAGGTGATTGCAGAGGCGGCCTTCGTCACCTCCGACTACCCGGTGATTCTCTCCATTGAGAACCACCTCAGTCCGCCCTTTCAAAAGCAAATGGCGCAGATGATGCGTGAGATACTCAGGCAGTACATCTACCTTGATGAGGTTCCGGAAAAGCAAACACAGTTTCCATCGCCTGAAGTGTTCAAGAAGAGAATCTTCATAAAAGGTAAGGCAGATAGGTAAACAGATTGGCTGAGAAACTGAATAAACTATTTTGTGATCATCAAAAGGCAGCAAAAGTGAAACCTTCGTCATGCCTGACTCCGAGTCGACAACGTACAGTTTTCTCTGCATGGAGTGGACTCGAGCCAATGCACCGAAGAAGAAGAAGCAACATCTTACCTCACAGCACAGTTTCATCCGCCATGACTTTGACTCCGATGATGATGACATTGAGGATGAAGAGGGCGAAGAGGCGGAGGCGGATCAAAATGTAAACAACACAAACGAGGCCAGCAGCAGCAGAGTTCAAGCGTCAAACCAAATGACGCAACGACGACGACGACGACGACGGTTGAATCTGAACACACTTCGAAATATGGCCATCTACAGGGGACGCAGTTACTCGCTGAGACAAGTCTGGACGACGCAATCACCACCATCACAACCGTCGTTGGAAGGCATCAGCGAGAATGTGGACGAGAAGAAGGAAAGGCTGCTGGAAGATCACCTGTCATCAGCTGATTTTGAGCGCAGTCAGAGTGATGGGCAAGCGCTAACAAAGGTGATTTGTAAATCTTAAGCATTCTGCAACTTCAAATAACCAGTGCCTTTCATTAGCAGGCAATCGTCACCGACTTTTCCAGTGTGATCAATTACTTCAAGACGAAAAAGTTTTCCAACATAGCTGATGCAATCAAAGAGTGTAAGTGAAATCAAAACGGAAAAGCAATATTCTAAGCATTATCTTATTTTTTTCAGTCAAGTTCTACGAAATGTGTTCCCGGGACGAGAATGCGTCAAAGCGAATTTTCACCAACAGTCCTAAAGAGTACCGCCAGTTTACCTCAACAAACATGGTTCGAATATATCCTCACGGTTTGCGGACAAACTCGGCCAACTACATGCCCCTGGACCACTGGGACGTGGGCGCCCAGATGGTGGCACTCAACTACCAGACCATCTCAGTGGCCATGCTCATCAACTGGGCACAGTTCGCCCTGAACGGTCGCTCTGGCTACGTCCTCAAGCCTGCCTTTCTTCGGCTTCCCGGCCAGGTGAAGCTGCCCAAGGATCTGCCCAAGACGATGCTTCAGGTGACCATTCTCTGTGGCCAGTTTTGGAAGCCATTTGAGGGCAAGGTAGAGCTGAAGGTGAGCACCCGCGTCTACTGCCCCGACAAGGAGCAGCGAATGGACCTGAAGAAGCCGGAGAGCACCAAGGTGGTGGCCGACAATGGCTTCAACCCCGTCTGGAATGAGACCTTCACCTTTGATCTGAGCAATCCCGAGCTGAGCTTTGTGCAGTTCACCCTAGTCAACGCAAAGGACTTTGTCGGTCACCACATGATTAGCTTCCAGGCAATGCAACGGGGCGTCCGGCACATCAACCTTTTTGATCACGACAACAAGCCGATACCTTTTGCGCGGATATACGTCAAAATTGACCACTGGCTTCAGGGGAAAAGAAAGACCTAGCACGGTAGGTTGACTCTCTGTTTCTACCTTTTTTCTCAGTTGACAGCTGATATTTGTTTTATTGTTGTTATTTAATAGCTCATGTGTAATTGAGCTGCACGTGGGTGGCTACTGTACGGCATGCACTGATTCATTTACCGCTAACATTGATAAGCTAGTAAAACTCATAGGTGACTTGCGGTGACTTTGAGGTGACTGAACCCCGATTTTCTTTATTTTCAAGTTCGTCAATCAGCGTACAGTATAGACACATAAAACCAGTTATTCATCAGATGCACCTCACATGGCCATGAGTTGAGCTTGAGGCAGCCGTTGAGGCCATGCCAAATCAGCGCCAGTCAGTCTCACTGCTGACTTGGCCCCAACGTGCTCTCCTCTTCTACTTTAGTCCAGCTCGGTCGCTTCTACAATTGAGACCGTTCCATCTGCATTCACCTTGGTCTCATCAAGTCGTTTCAACAGCAGCAACAATGAGTACCAAGAATGCTTCCACTTTGGGTGCTGCAAAGATCACCGGAACTGCCAACGGTTCCACGGCACCACCAACGAACATCAACAACACCACCGCCACCACCATCAACACCACCACCTCAGCTTTACCGGGAAAGAAGGTCCTTTCCGGTAGAGTCTACTTCATTCCGGGTGGCTACTCAAAGCTAGGACAGGTGATTCGCGGCACAACGCTGACCAATGATCGAAAGCGACCTCTAGTCGAGGATGAAGTCGTCGAAATTGGCAGCTCCAGTTCATCCAAAAGTACCCCCGATGGTCCACCGGCCGCTAAGGTGCAGGTCAAGAAGGAGATCAAGAAGGAGACCAAGAGGGAGGTGAAGAATGAGATCAAGAGGGAGGTGAAGAAGGTGATCATCGTACGCAGTTCACCGGCACCTTTTTTACCGCAGACGGCACAGCAGCAGCTGCAGTCAACGGTGGTGCAAGCAAGAACGCAAACACCGGTTCGCCGTCTGGTTCACATGTCAGCACCAATCCAACGTTTTACGATACCTTTCACGCAAGCGTTCACGGCAAACTCCAAATCGCAAAACACGCAAAATCTCAACCAAACTTTCACGCCACCTTCTACGCAAACTTTCACGTCACCTTCTACGCAAACTTTCACGCCACCTTTCACGCAAACGTTTGCGCCATCTTTCACGCCAAATTTTCCCTCAACACCCACGCCACCACTAGTCCCATTTCAAAGTGGTTTGTACAGACTACCCCTAAACCAGCTGTATGAGCCTGTTCAAACACCGTTCAAAGTGCCCACTGCACCGGCAAAAAAGACCTTGCACTATTCAATTGCTCGACAGCAGAAGATACTGCAGGCGTTCAAGGAGACGCTGGGCGTCACTCCACCTGGATACTCGCCCACCATTGGAAGTGCTTCTGATGGACCATCTGGAAGTGGTGGTGGTTGTAGTAGTAGTAGTGATAACAAGAACGGCAAGTGGATCTTCCAGCGAATGGCCGACTTTGTAAAGGATGTGGAAAAGTTTAAGTTAAGCGTATGTCAACTGCTGGACCCAGGTCAAGTGTCGGTGACGCTGAAAACGGGCAGCTGGCTGGAGGCGCTCATTTTGCGCTCTTGTTGGTACAGCCATAAAAGTGCTGAAGTTAAAAGAGGTATGAAGTTTGCTTTCTCTTTTATAATTGCTTAAATACTTAACCACCATTTACTTGCTTGCAGAACTTTTCCCCAACTCTCGCCAGCCAGTGTACTTTGACCCAGATTGCCACTACCAGATTGCCCTTCGTCCTGATGGCGACACGCCCACCAATGCCGCTTTTCTCCGCAAAATGGACGACTTTATGCAGGTGCTCGCCCAGCTGCAGCTGGACGAAACGGAGCTCAGTCTGCTCACGGCGTGGTTGATCTTTGAGGACCAGCCTTTTGAGTGCAACTGTTTTCCCGCTGTGAAGGTTGACGAAGACGCTGAAGAGCAGCTGTTTTTGACTGCACATCAGCAGCCTTCCACCGTATCACCAAATGTACCGCAGGTGAACCTAAAGCAGACCATCCACGTACTGCTCTACGAGTACCAAGCAAAGGCGATGAAGAGTACTGCTGGTGGTAGTGGCGCAAGCAGCAGCACTTCGATGCCCATGAGTAACACTTATCGAACAATGAACGTCCTACTGGCCATTGCCGAGCTGGCTGGCATCTCATTTCTGCTGGAAGTGTAGGAGGGTTGTTCTGTAACAGAGGGGACAAAGACAGGGCTCTATTCAAGCATCCTTTTAATTTTATATACTCAATCACGCTGTGCACTCCACACTTTACCGGGAGTTGCCTCTATTTTTTTCTCTTGCATGTTTCATGTTTCTGCTTCTATTTCTATAATTATTTTTTTGTGGCTGTCTACACTTTCTATTATCTTTATTTACCCACTCACACACACACACTCACACTTGCATGTTCCACTGAATTTGAGCCTCCCCCGCTACTCTGTTACTCTCTCATATTGATATAAACGAAATTATTTTGTTATTTGATTATGCGTTCAAGAGTGAAGCGTCTCTGGTGCGTATGCGTGTGTTTGTTTGNTCTCTCATATTGATATAAACGAAATTATTTTGTTATTTGATTATGCGTTCAAGAGTGAAGCGTCTCTGGTGCGTATGCGTGTGTTTGTTTGTACTATGATTGATTTAATCAAAAGTTTTTTATTTGAGAGAGAAGCTCTGTGTGACTGACTTGTTTATTCAGTTCCTGCAAATCTCATTCGCGGATGAAAGAGGAGAAAAGTGAAGGGAATAAGTACCGTGTGAGTAAACTCTTCAATAAAAGTGGGGTAAAATGTATACAGTTGATTAGCAGTGGGGCCAGATGGGGAGGGGGACAAAATCTGGGAACATGTCTGGTTTAGAGTGTTTCCGGTTGAGAAGTGCTTGTGGTCTTGAAGACAGGCCTCCTTGAAGGTGAAGAGCAGTCGAGGACAGACGGCGAGAAGGGCGAGGAGAGAGACCAGCAGACAGGTGGGCACTTCACCGGACTCTCGCAGCACACTGGAGCGGGCTCGAAGCAGACAGAGGGCGGAGGCAGTGCTGCCCACTGACAGACGAGGCGAACTGAAGGGGGCGTGCTCGGGGCTCAGTGTCCCCGGTGACTGGGTGGCAGTCGCTGAGGAGGACACCCTCGGAGAGAGTGGACTGAGCTCAATGGCGGAGTCCACCTGGTGCCTGCTGGCCCCACCAGCAGTTCTGTTCAGTCGACCGAGCCACCGCCGCAGCTTCTCCGCCACCAGTCGCCGTCCTGCCCTCTTGTTGTTCTGCACTGTTTCAGAGCCCGACCTGGAGCCCTCGGTGGCCCACTTGTAGGCCATGGCGACGGTCTTGGCGGCCAGTGGGAGGAGCACCGGTGCCAGCACCAGCAGTGTCGTGTACGACCAGAAGGGACAGCTGTACGGCGAGTGCCAGTCAATGCCGCAGCTGAGTTCCACTGCAAACAAATGCAAACAATGCAAATTGGTCAAATGTGGTTCAGTCGAGTGATGATTTATTGTCATGTTAAGTTGCTGTGCCTTGTTTACCTGCTAACTGTCTGCATAAATTATTTATGATTGTTTTGACTTCTTCTAAGGAGCTCATGACTTTGCTAATTTCTTTTCCTTCCAACTTTGCCTACTTTTATTCTACCTGCTTTTTCCTGGTACTAAAAGTAAGACATTGTATACTGTACCTTTGCTAAATCGATAGCTGGAAAATCCGTAAATGGGCCCGGTGAGGTGAAGAGCAAGGAGGAATGTGGTCAGAATGAGAATCAGGTAAAGCAAACAGTGACTGCATTTACGCAGATACGAATGAGGACTGAAGTGGGCAGTGTCACTGACAAAGAACAAGCAGTTAGATAAGCGACAATCAGTTTTAGCCTATCAACGTACCGATCAAAAACAAAAACTGTCAGCACCCATAGCTGAAAATACTGCAAAAAAGTGACCAGAAAGCCATGACCATAACAAACCACTTCGCTGTTTGTACAGATGCCTACTGTGAAACGAAAAATTGATTTATTGCATCAAACACCCACGCACTTCTGTTTTACCAAAATGGCAAATCAGCTGGGCTGCATTCTTGAGAAGCAAGCGTGTGAGGGCAATGATTG